GTCAACGTACACATTCACAATTTAGTTTGATAGTGGTCTGCAACTTCCGAGAAGGTGGCTTTTTCTAACAAAAAGCTAGTTGCCCTCTCAAACTGTACAAAGGAAAACAGTTGCAAGTACATTCATATCATCACAAATAAGCTTAAACAATCTTTAACCTAATTATAATGTTATTATTTGTTCTTTTGTGGTTTTCTTTTAGAAGAAAAAAATCCAGTTACTCACACTTGCTGAAACAGCAATTCTGTACTGTATTAATTTAAAACATTTTACAGTCATTTAAACATATTAATTTCTTTATCAATATTGTTTGATGGTACAATTCCGTTTTTTTTCCTGCGGCACCAGGGTACCAACAAGATGTTTCAGGAATCTACACGAATATAATATTCTTTTTATCACATATATCAAATAAGAACAGTAAACTGTTTAAATGAGTAATTTTTCAATGACGCGCCCAAAGTGCGCTTTAACGCTATGTTTCTATAATATAGCGCAAATGAAGTCACGTCAAAGTAATATCGTTTTTATTAAATGGCTTTATTACACTCCTGCGCCGCGGTTTAAGTGATAACTTACTGTATTTCTCCATAAAATTGTACCCACTGATTTTAATAAGTAGTATGACTAAAAAATACATAATATTACTTAGCAAACATTTATGGTTTGTTCTTCTATATTTTGTTTTTTATGGTTCACAAAAAAATGATTCATTTAAATACGGAACGAAAACTGCAAAAGCGAAGCGAAAATATATATATATATTGAAAACACATTTGTACAAAGCATTTTGACATGCAGGGATTAAAAAACTGTTTTCATTCTAATGTCATTAATACGATACAAATCAATGAAATTACAAAGAATGAGATATATGAAAGCCAAAAAGCACATTTTTTAACATAAATTGTATACCACAAAGAATCTATAAATGGTGGCGGTTCTAGTGAGGTCAGTGGTGTTCAGGCCGTTGATAATGTGTAAATTGCTTCCTTTTGATTCCTTTTGATTAAATACATTTTCAAAATTTTCCTGAAAATGAGCACGAATCTGTAGGCGTGCTGCTATAATTTGATATTATAAAATTATTGAATTGGACATTTTTTACGCTTATCGTATGCGAATATGGTTATTTAGAGGTCTTTATGCAATCACACAAAATGCTTCAAGTGAAACAACTTTCCCCGGTCTCGCCTACAACTCGTGACCTTTGAAAATTCTGATGCACCTTGTTTCCTTTCGAAGAACTATTTGTAATACAAACAACTCAAAGATTCAGACTAGGTAAAGGTAGGCTTACTCAAAAAGGCTATTTATTAGTTTCTACTTTGAACAAGTTTTCTTTTTTGTTGATAGCTGGAGTCACCTTAGTTCTTTATGTATGTATAAATTTCAGTAATACCGTCCGAATTCAGCAAAAACATTAACATCTTAAAAACTAACTTAATATCGGGTGTTACTCCTTCAAAACTTTGAATAGAACAGATTTTTTTCACCCAGGTACATAACATACCCTGAAATACAACATGGGAAACAACACAGCTGTTTTGGTTCCGGTAAACTGATGTGTATTACCGAAAGAAAATGAAAATCCATTAAAATCAAAATGTCAAACCTAGGTCGGTCTGAACATAATCATACCTGATGGTTTCATAATTTTAAACCCATATTTTGTACAACTGCAGCTGTACAACATACACAAAAGTGTATGTATAATAGATAGCAAAATCGAATAAAATTAATAATAATTTTTTCTATGGGAACAATGTACTGTGAACAACATCACAGTTCCAGAACCACAGTTCTTTAATTTGATATACTTTATATAAGTCAGTCTGAACATGATTTATAATTTAGTTGGTTCCGTTCCGTATAATAGTTATAATCTAACCTGAAAGTTTCATAATTTTAAACCCCTATTTTGTACAATCATAGGTGATTTATAAGTTTACAAGTTGAACATTCTGTTATTCGCAGTTTTTATGTAAGAAGCTAAATGATTTTCATGGTGTTGAACAGACGTGACTTTTCTTCGATTAAGTCGAAACACTTTTATGTTTAGCCAAAAAGTTCACTATGGATAGTTGCATTGTTGAATAAATATTTTACTTAAATCTCAATGTCATATCACTGCAGTCTACTGAGTCTACTGTTTGTTTGATGGTTAATTCTGTTTTTCTGCGGCAACAAGCTGTTTCAGATCTAGAAATTTATACATTTTACTGCTTTGAGAGAAACTTTTTCCTTTGTCACCAACAATAAAATTTGGAGCACCATATCTACAAAAGAATACGTCAACTTTGTAATGTCAGAAGTTGGCGTTGTTGAAGTGTCAAACGTAAAAACTAGTATACCGATACAGCTTTGAGAGAAACTTCTTCCTTTGTCACCATCAATAAAATTTGGGGCACCATATCTACAAAATATTCCGTCAACTTTGCAGTCTCAGAAGTGGAAGATGGAAAGGCCTTAAACGTAAAAACTAGTATACCGACTACTGGATAATAATTTTTGCTTACTGACATTTACGTTATCATTAATACTTTGTGCGCCATATCATTTCCAGGAAATGTCACGATATTAATATTCTAGCCAGAATGTACATGAATAGTACATATTATACATATGTAAACGAAACAGACAATATTAAAACGTCAAACCGGTGGAAAATGAAGTACGGGACAAAACACGAAATAAAATCCTGTTTGCCCGGAAAATTGTGAATCTTTAAAAAGGAAGATGACGAAAACAGGATAAAACTTACTTTTCGGCTGCATCCGCCATGTTGTTTGTTTGGGTAACGAACGGCGTGATTCTCCCCCGTGTTTTAAGTTGTAAGTTTGATGTGTTATGCATGGATCATATTTTAAGTATGATTCAATATTAAATCAGATTAAATAACAAAAAACAGAACACTTAATATTCTGATTGTCGCTCTTAATGTATGTGTTCTTATCATATAAAAAATGAGATTTATTGAATTTATTGTGAAACACAACTATTTTTGTTTAATGGATAATACTAATTTGTTTGTTCTACTTCACGTTAGACTTTTATTATCCATTGATATTTTCCACTTGGAGGTCTGCAAGAATTGGCAATGTGTAAAGTTGTACTTTTACAGTTATAATTTTTCTGATCTAAAATTATTCCTCTTTTTATACAATGAAATTAATAGTACTTCCATTTTCCTGTACCAATCAAACAAAGCCTTCAAAATTTGTTTTCTTAGGCGTTCGCGAGGGACTTTATTTTTCTCTCTTAATATTTAAAAAAAACGCATAGTTTGTGACTGATCTTGTTACAATCCTCAGGAAAAGAATCATTGGTGGAATATAACCGATAAATAATTCCAGGGGCAATCATAAATCGGAAACAAAAATAAAGAAAACAAAAAGCCACTGTTTGTTCAATCTTCAAATTTCAATCGATTTCAAACATTTCAAAATTCCATGAAAAAATGATTATCACACATATATTTGTCTACCATTTAACAGCGACGTAGGTTGAGTGTTACGCGTTTTCCGGTTACAGTATAGAATTTTCAAGATGGAGGATTATTTGTGTGAGGACAGGTAGGTGACTTTTATTCAAATCCATTATTATAATTATTATCCATTATTCAAAGTACAAGTAGTTAAGTTTATAAAAGATGTTTTTGTGCTTTGCTTGTAAGGAACAGAATCTGGTATCTAGTAATTTATTTATTCATCCAGACCCTGCACCGCAGATCTATATATTGTCTCATAAATATAAATTTGACAGTTTGAAAATTTGAATCGAGAGACCAACGCATTTTTCTCTCATTCCGACATTATTTATGCATGCCTAGAAAATGTAAATCTGCAAAACGTTAGTCCTTTTTAAAAGTAAGCAGTTGAATGAGTTTGAAAAAATAAACAATGTTACAGTATAAATAGAGCGAAGTGATTTGTGCAGGGTTAGATCATAGACCTAGCGATTTTTATCCGATTTTGTTACAGTTTATTACAGCTTATTTTCTATATATATATTCCAGGTTAAATACATAGACTTTTAAATCTCTAGAAACCCAACTTGTGATCTTATTGACCTGATGGCTATTCGTCCGTCTGTCGTACACATGTATGTGGAATCTCATCGCACAGTAACTACTTGACTAAATGTGATGTACATGACTTTCTACCAAAGTTTCGGTTGCAATCGGGGATACGAAAACCCAAAACAGATTTTCAAAGGAATTATCACATCATATTGAAATCGGCTGCCAGCGGGAAAAATACACATTTTCATGTTTAATATCTTTTTTTCCAGGGATGAATAACAGTTTTATATTTAACTTTTTTGATCTCTAGGAAGAAAAATTTATTGTATAATTTGCAATTTAATACCTGTCATTGAGCATCTTGTTCACAAGCGTGTCTTATCGGAAATGGACAAAAGCCCTCCTATCCAAAAAAAAAAATTTAAATGACAAGACGGGCAAAAGCTCTCTGTGCTAAATCGTCGTACAGGCTCAATCAAACCGAGTCTGCAGTGAGAATTGAGTATCGCTCAAGTCAGCTAGGCAGTGATTAGGGGCGTGAGGGATGTTGCACGTATTCATAATCCCTCATATACAGGCTCAATCAAACCGACTTGCAATGCTTTCCAAAATTTTAAATACTTCGCGTTGAGAACCAGCATGGCTATAGTCGGAACCATTTTGGAATATGATTGTTCTCACGTTCAACGCGCACCATATTGTGTCGTTTATATTGAAGTTAAAATTTGATATGTACTGCGTCGGTGTATGTATAATTTTTTTGATTGCAAAATGGAATAAAATGAAAAATGATTTTTGAGGGTAGGGTGTGATGATATTTTTCCATGGGAACAATGTTCTGTTAACAACATCACAGTTCCAGAACGACAGTTCTTTAATTAGCTATACCTTTGTAAGTTTACTTCAGCTAAATAATCTTTGGACAAGGCAAAAAAAGATATAATTGAGCTTGAGAGTGACATTGACAAATTAGTGATATTATTTAGCTATGTTTTTTATTTAGGCTGGACAAATGGTGACATTTGTTCTCTATTAACGCAGTATACATATGTGTAAAATCTGCCCTTTCAGGCACTAACAGTACGGGCCAGACATCATAATGTTTTCGAAGTGAATTCTTAACAACAATATTCTTCCTAAAGGAAAAAAAGAAACTGCTAAAGCGAAGCTTACATGATACAAAGAATTTTTATCTGCAGCGATAAAAAAAACTATTTTCATTCTTAAATAAAAGATATTTTATACAACTAACAAAACGATACAAATCTTTAAAACAACAAAGAATGAGAGATATTAAAGCAAAAAAGCACATTTTTAAGACAAATTGTTCACCACAATTAATCTATAAAGAAAATGGTGACGGTTCAAGTGACGTCAGTGGTGTTCTGATTACTTCAAGAACTAAGTAAAATATAACACCTAGCACAAGAACGCCCCCACAAACACAAATAAGACTTAGTAAGGGCATCCAAATGTCAAGGACAAACACCAAAACGAGGCCGAGGCTTTGAACTGTACGGAACATTGTCACGGCAGCTTCCTTCCTACCGGTAGACCAAGCCAACAGCACATCTGAAAATATAAACAAGCTTTGTTAACATATAATTCTATATTTGAATGTTTTGCTATATCAATCAACACAAAATGCGTATGGCCTAATTTTTATTTTTAAAGTTTGTACGGACTACTTCTCTTATACCACTAATGCAATTTCAATGAAACTTTACAGGATTGATCTGTAGCTCAAGTCCTTGCGCATATTGCACGGGTTTTCCGGTTGAATGATTTTTGGCCGAGTTATGGCCCTTTGATAAAAAGGTGTTTTTTTCTGTGTGTTGCCGCAGATACACAAAAGCTTGTCCGGACTACTCCTCATAAACTACTGGTGCAATTTTAACCAAACTTTACAGGAATGATTAGTACCAAGTCTAGTTGTGCACTGTCCGTCTGTCTGTCCGTCTGTCACAAAACTTGTCCCATTATGCAATTGGCCATCATGAGGAGACACATGTGATCACTGATCGCTATTGTAATAACAAAGATAATTCTTAGAAATATATAAAATTTCAATAAATCTCTAATGAAATGGAAATAATTCTAGAAATACAGAACGTGAGTTATAAATCTAATCGCACCTGATATAGGTGTTGATAAGAAACATTTTTATGCCACCGAAGGGAGGCATATTAAAATCGCACCGTCCCTCTGTCTGTTTAGACGTCCGTCTGTCTGTGCGTCCCAACTTTATTCCTGTGCGGACTATAACTTTGTCATGCATTGAATGATATTTAAATAACTAGGCATTAATGTCTACACATCAAGACGATGTGTCGCGTCAACTTACCACGCCCCTACCTCAAAGGTCAAGGTCACACTACCATTTTGAAGTTCACTATATCAAAATTAGAGTTTATAACAGTCGTGTCCGAACTGTCATGCATCAAATTACTATGCATAAATATCTTCCACATCAAGACAACATGTCGCGCAGTAAAAGTTACATCTATGAACAGTTTTTGGTTTTTGTTTTTTAGCGGGCCGGGAGGGGAGTAACAGTGACACTTAACTATTGAACTTTATTTATTATTAATCTAAAAAATTATCGTACTTTAAGTTTCATAATTCAATTTGACCACAGACCAATTTACAAAAGAAAGGAGAAAAAACATTGATAAATTTAGTGAGTGTATCTTCTACAGAAATTTGATCCTTCAAAGTTGGGGCCATTAGATAAGAATACAGAGGGCCAATTAATAATGACAAAACTCTCAACTCAATGGACGTGTTAATGGGAGACATACAGTTAATAGTGATTAACTGATAAGCCCTAACTGAGATTCAGCAGGCTGGAAGGGTTTATGCGTAGGACTGTCTTCTTTCTATAAACAGAACCAGAATACAAAATGTTATATTTCAAAAATGTTATAATTTAAAAAATATACGCTCCTCCTAAATTTCACCCGTCTATTTATTTATTATGTATATAATTATTTTTTTTAATTTTACCCACTAAATCAGTTCATTGTATCATAGTTTCAAGAGAGTCCCCACTCTCTGTTGAAAATATGACAATCGTATAAATAGTGCAGGTATTAGTTACCAGCACTCCAGAGCATGTCCATTGATTGGTTCATTTTGTGTTGTTACATATTGTGACGACAGAGAGTATAGCGATTGAAATATCATATTCAAATGCTCGTTCATTGGTTACTTTTTTGTGGGGTTTCATTTTGTGGAATCAAGGAACGTGTTTGACTCGGCAACCTGATTTATGCTCGGGGTCTACGCCCCCTCGTACAAATCAGATATCCTCGTGTTTCGATGCTCTTTCTATTACTCAAAAAGAAAAAGATAAGTCAGTATTTATGTATGCCTCGCAAATTGACAATATGACATATACTAATCAAAAGTTCTAACGCTCATTATAATTTGGGACTATTTTTTAAAAAAAAAACGGAAAAATATTCGATTCCAAAATTTTTATTGAAAAACATTCTTGCCCAAAACAAAATGCAAAAGCAAAACAAAACATATCCAACAAATAAACGAGAAATCGACTTTTCCGTATCACAAGGGTCAGTTTCCTGAAGCAACGCAGTGTTCTAGGCGCAAATAGACGTTGACGTATACGACGCTCGAGCTCATCCCATAAATGCTCTAAAGATCCGGAGAACACGCACAGGTCACGGTAACACGATAATTTTGTTTTGTTGCAAATGATGCGTTGTGATTCGTGCCGTGTGGGGTCTTGCGTTATCTTGTTGGAATCTGACGCCATTGTGTTGACAACATGTTGATAAATGGTATGACAACGGGATTTAAGACATTGTTTATGTAACTTATAAGCATTCATGTTCCAACGAATGATAACGATCCAATTGACTCGTAGACGTTATCCCGCCCCACACCATTACGCTTGCCTGAAAATGGTTGAGCGGATTAACGCATGCATCCGAATAAAGTTCCCCATGACGTCTGTAAACACTAGTGCGATCATCTTTGCTATGTAGCGTAAACCTCGAGTCATCACTGAAAAGAACGTTTGCCCACTGTTGTCTGGTCCACCGACGATGAAGTGTAAAAAAAAATATAAAATTAAAAGAAAGTACCTGTAGCTTGAAACAGTCTACGTATTGCCTCGCTACATTGCTTACGCGCGCTCCGGCTTGTAACATCCCAATCGCACGCCCTCTTTTTTCAATGCTTAATTTTAGCATAATTACGGAATTATTCAAGAAAATAGCTGTTATGACTATACACTAAGAAGTGTTTTGTTCAAACTTTATTGATTGAAAATTCACATAATGCATGAGAAAAGTGACTTTGACTGACCAAGCTTGTGTGCTCTCAAGCATGAAGCTATTATCAAAATGTGCATGTAGACAATAACTACCTTTGATAATATACGTGTGGTGAATATTTCATGTGTAAATTTCTTCTTTTTGAAATAAAGTCCATTTTTAGACGAGTGTTAGAACTTTTGATTAGTATATATCGCTGTTTAACATTATGCTCACATTTTCATAGTTTGAAACAGGATAAAATTATAAATATGCCTGAAATATTAAAAAGACTGCCCCACACTTTTTTAGACTGAGCGTTATAGATAAATTATAGTAGATATTTACAGAAATTTTATTTGGATCTGTGCATTATTTATTGTTTATTGGTAAGTCAATTATTTATTTAAAAGGAATTATGGCAAAATGAAAACTTATTTTGATCACCTGTTCACTCACTATATATACCCTTGTCACATACACGTCGCCCTGGTTTATCCATAAATGATAGGAATATCGCGTTCACGGGGGAGGAAGTGTTACACGAGGGATGGAGTTCTTATGGTAACTTGTTAAGGAGTTGTTGTGATAAATGTCACGGAGTTCCTCGGAAAACTATTGTATATATACAATATGCAAAGCACTGGTCAAAAATTGTAATTTTCATCGTATTAAAGTGAGTTTTAGGTGCTGAATTAATCTAGCTTGCGGAATGCGGATGTTACGGTGGCATAGGGCGGAATATCATAGGTAAAATATTGAATATTGCTCGAGGACGCCTTAATTCCGCGCACTTGCAGACATCATCCTGCCGTTGTACCTTACATACACAACGGTAATGCTGACGTTTTTCAGCAGGATAATGCACGTTGTCATACTGCTCTTTACACACGTAACCTCCTAGCGGCAAATCACATTTACACGATCGAATGGCCTATACCTATAGAGCACATGTGGGCCTTGGCCGTAGATTGCGTGAGCGGAATGATGTCAAATACGTTAATGAGATCAAGTGTTCCTTACACGAGGAACGGGCGCCGTTGTTTCGCTGATATCCACGCAAGAGGCGGACACACGAGAAATATTGACGGAATATCCATAGTAAATGACGTTTGTTTTTGTTGAAATTGTAAAAGATTTATCGGATATTAAATGAATTTTATGGTGAGTAACTGTTTTTACAATTTACAAGTAATGGTATAAAAATAAACCAAAAGGTTTGCGTACTGACTAAACTTTATCCTCATAAATATGAAATATAAATATGAAAGTGGGCAGAGTCAAAACAAATATTTATTTCTAGGGACTTCTTTCGCCATTTTGTTGGAAAAAAAAAGATAGATATAAAGCAACTTTTTGTTGAAATTTGTTTGGAATGATAAAAAATGGTTCTAAGAAAATAAATCCGAACACCAATATCTTTAATTCAGTCATTACCGCCGTACAGAGATTCAAAGAGTTGTTTACGTGACGTATAAGATGAATTTCGATGGCAAATTAATCGTAATCAACAAGTACACGCGCGCACATCTCAATCAACGACTAATTACATGAAATCAAACTAAAATTCTTAACATATAAGAAGCACGCACAACATTGATATTTTGTGTATTGATTATGTTTAAGTTTGTTAGGAAAGGGTCAATTAATCAATTTTGTGGCTAATACGTTTTGACTACGTGCTCATTTCATTAACAGTTAACATTTACATTAATGCATGCGATTTTTTCATTTTATTCAATATAGGTTGTTGCCTCTAAGTTGGCGTCAACGCGTCGACGCACAGAATTAACGAAACGTTGATCTATTTGAAAGATTGTTCCATTCCGCTATCAATACTTTGTCAGTTGGAGGATATTCTGTTGGGCGCGATGTCGTTGTACATTTCTGCCAAGCACATTCCAGATATGCTCTATCTGATCTGGAGACATTGCTGGCCAGTGCATGGTATTGACATGGGCTGCAGCTAAGCGAGCGAGCGCTAGTTATCCTCCCGTGTGTGGACGAGCGTTGTGTTGTTGACAAAACCAACGGGACCGTTTCTTTCCATTTAAGACTTCGTTGACTCTGGGCGTTTAAGTTGCCGTGTATCATCCGGGTCTTTTGACTACCCATTATCCCGCCCATGACGCTTCCACCACCGGTTTCGATCATGCTGTCTAAGGTGCAAACCTTTCGCCCTTTCGACGGTAAATTCATACACGGCCGTCGGAGTATTCCAATCACGTCGCCGCCACTGACGGTGAATGCCTGATGATGGCGTAAAGTGAGAATGGGCATCGCGCTCATATC